GAGAGAGAGAGAGAGAGAGAGAGAGAGAGAGAGAGAGAGAGAGAGAGAGAGAGAGAGAGAGAGAGAGAGAGAGAGAGAGAGAGAGAGTGGCTGGGGTTGGGGTTGGGGTTCAGAGTATTAGGTAGTTGAGCGGATATGGTGAGATCTCTTTCTCGTGTGAGCTGTGAAAGTCCTTGTGGGGATATTATTACCTCCATGAATGAGCGGGGTTTGCTCGCTTGGTTTTGTTGAGAGTAAGTTTAGCAATATTTTCTGACATTCAGTGTAGGTAGTCACATCCTGTGTGTGACATCCAGAGTCTGAGAGTCTGAGAGGGTATTTGGCCGTCATGCCTGTGTTCCATATACTCACGTGAGAGGGTCCTCAATCTGTCCTGTTTGTGTCATGCTTTTGCAGCCAAGGGAATATTCTCTCGTCGCCACTGTCTTTTATGAGGTGAGTGTACTTGGTGGTGGGATTTGGTGCCACAACCCACTTTATGAAAGTTTTATTTTCGCTATCCGAATTCTCTGTGCTATTCTTGAATGCCTGTCTTTCTTTTCTTTTTGTCAATTTCTTTTAGAACGATGCGGAATGTAATCAACTTGGCATTCGTACTCTCTTGCAGGATGTGCACAGTCGAAGCCCTAAAGGCCGATCTTTGCAGAATTCTCAAAGTTGTCATAGCTGGACCTGGTGCGTATTTGTACGAGTTTGGAAATCCACCTATGATATCCATGGAGACGAAGGCTGATTCTGAACAGGTAGCGGTTTTGAGAGGCGGTACAGCTGCTGGTCCAGCCCATTCTTTTGCCGATAGACCGTGCGGCTTCTGACATAACCAACATGTCATGACACATTGTAGGTCGGTAGAACCAGTCCAAAAGTTTCATGGAAGTCTTTGTGGATCTGGTGTCCCTGTGCATATTGCCCAGCACCCGCCAAGGATTGTTCTCCAGACCCGTTGTGAGGGCATGCACAGTCTCTACACTCCCTTATTCTCTACCACTTATGAACTTTTAATTATGAAGTGTATATAGTCCTGTGCGGGGGTCAGATCTTCCTCCAAATCTGGGAGCCGAGGATAACCAAGATAGGTTGCGCAGGCACAGACTCCATTGACGATCCAGTTGGACAGGGCAGCCCCTATCTTGACTTCTTGATAGTGTATGGAATCCCGCATCCCTATGCGTTGTGGCACCCGCCACATACTGTTGCTTTCAAACTCTGTTTGGAGGACATGCAAAGTCTATGAAATAAGCAAATAAAGAATATAGATGAAGTTATCTTAGGAGATACTATTTATCAGACCCCTCTATTTACTAAAAATTTCTTAGTTGATCTATTGTTTCTTAGATGAGTGAAATTACATTGAGTGTTTGGATGATGGGGGTATAGCTCAGCTGGTAGAGCGCCGCTCTTGCAAGTGTGTCGAGAATGTCTAGATTTTGAGGATACTCAGTAATGAGTGACAAGGATAGCAACTCGTGTATAATCCGACTCCTGTTTGTAATGTATAATCCAACTCCTGTTTGTAATGTATAATCCAACTCCTGTTTGTAATGTATAATCCAGCTCCTGTTTGTAATGTATAATCCAACTCCTGTTTGTAATGTATAATCCAGCTCCTGTTTGTAATGTATAATCCAGTGCGGAACTCGGATCCCTGTAGAACTGTGGTACGCTCGGAATAACCAGAATCAGCTGTGCACGATTCTGCTATCCTGTCAAAGACTGTTGCTAACTCTACGCTTGGACAGGACAGGACAGCTCCTATGAAGTCGTGCCTTGTTGATAGTGCATCTGCAGCCCACTTGCACGCCCCCTTTCTAGACTTCAACTCGACTTGGAAATTGAGGATGCACACAGACCATCTCCCCAGCTTCTCTGACAGATTTTGTTGCCTCTTCGGCCACTGCTATCTGGCTGGATCGGTAAACATCGAAGGGGTGCCCTAACAGAGTGCCTTCATATACGGAGGTTGCACAGCAGAACATACACCCTCTCAACTATTGTTGATGGCATGCATTTTGACAGGCACTCCACAGGTGTATATGTTGTGCCCATATTCCTGCCGCAGTACCACGGTCCCGAACTGACTGGCATCGGCGTCAGCACAAATGGGGTGCAGCATAAGATACTTGATGAGGCAGTCCAAAGGACAACCCACGTCTTGAGGCCCTGGCTAAGCGGCAACAGCTTCCCCCTCTTTTGCGTCTGGTCCTAGTACAGGCCCATGAATGAAATCACCGAGGTATAGAATCTCCTCCTCCTTATACTCGTCTCCTTTACACGTTATCTTGTACTTGACTCTCCTCAAGGCAGCAAACACTGTCCTCATGCTCCAGGTGTTCCGCCTAGCTGTGGGGGAATGCAAGGATGGATGTGATCTGAGAATATACTGCCACAAACTAATCCGTGTGAACCATTAGTGGATCATTCATCCTGCTGCAACATTGCAGGTGCATTGGTCAGTCCAAACAGTGTGATAATGAACTCATGGCTACCGTATTCAGGCCTGAACGCCACTTCTGCTTGTATGCAGGCTCCACTTCATCATTCTGTCTATAACTGCTCTTCATATTAATCTTCCAGAAGACTCTGTGGCTCTGCACCCTGTCCCAACAGGTCAGCAATCCGTGGCAATGGGTTGCATTCTTGATGCTGATAGTGTTCATTCCTCTGTAGTCAATGTGCGTGAAAGAGGATCAGTGGTATTTTGCCCGTGAAAGCCGATGCAGGTTGCCAACACAGCAGCACACACAACAAGTGGTATTTCGCAACGGGTTTTCCCGCACCCACTGGCAGTGACTCAAATGCCTGGATGAATTGTTTTTTGTTTCTGTTTTGGGACAGCGAATTGACTTCGGCAACAACCATGAGAAGATGCATAATGATGATCCCCAAAACAACTCAACCCTTTTTTTTTTCTTTTTTTTTTTATTATGTATGGGGGACATTTGTACTTTTTACTACGCTATTTTTCTTGTCTCAATTCATCCTCACACTAGCTACCTGTCTAAACCGAGAACAGTATCAGCAATCCAGGTCTATGCACCACAGACACCGCTTGCTAAGGATTCTTGGTTAAGTCTCCCTAGTCTACCCAAGCCTATCTATCCGACTATGCAGTGGTCAGGATCGTACGTATCTACTCTACTCGGTGCGGCACTGTGCGGGGAGTAGTACCCAGGCCCCTAACCCCTAGCACGGGATGGAAGGAGTGCATATCCCCTTTACCAAAACCAACCAGGGGGGGCAAGCCAGCTATCTCCGCTGGTGAACCCGAAGTGTGCCACAGGGGGTTGTGGGCAGTCGAATGGACAACGTGGGGAATCAAACCCCGATCTCCTGAATGCCGCTTACGTGCTCTACCAACTGAGCTAGGCTCGCTGGCTCTACAACTCACACGTTTTGTTTGGGTCTCTTGCATGTTTTCTTTCACCTGTTACTTTTGCTCCAGCACCTTCACCTCTCGGCACAAGCGCCTGGTTGCCTTCTGTGACAGGTACCTCTGGATGAAAACATGCCCACCATCATCTCGGCTACCTTTCTCTTGACCATTGTCATGTTCCCTTCCTCACTGACCTCTTCAACTGGTTCCCCTGCCATTATCACCTTCTTGATGGCTGTGTAGAAGAACATCCTCTACACTCCTTTGTGGGGTACTTCAGGCAGTGGGCTAGTGAGCATCAGAGCACTGTGCTGACTGCCACTCACTCTCTCTTCATCACTGTAATCACCAATGCAGCGTCCTTCCTTCTGCTCCTGCATGTGGGTGTTTGTGGCTTTAAACAACTAACCAAGCACGTTAACCAACTAAGTTTGTGGAGTGGGAGAACTAGTTGCCCTGTAGATGGTACGAACCAGGTGCCCTCGGTGACAACATCCTGTGCAATGCTTGCGGGTCATCCTCTGGTTACCAGGTGCCAGGCGTGACAATATCCGGTGCAATGCCTGCGGGTCATCATCTTTAGCCAAAGCTCGGCAATGATCCCCACACTCTCCCAGGTACCCATGTTCGCCCAGCCACCCCCTGAGGATTTGCTGTCGCTTGCGTTCCTTGCTTCCCCGATCCTGCTGTCCCCTGATGGTGAATTTGAGGCCTCCTGAATTGCAGCAAGGATTTCTCCCCTTGTAGGGCAGGTGCCGCTCTTTTTCCTAACTTTGGCACCTGAGGGAAGTCTTCTCTCATCATCTTCGCTGCAGCTGTCACTGAAGAATGTCCCCTCCTTTGCAATTGCAGTGGGGAAAGTTCCTGTCCCTTGAAGCTCAACGTCCGATACACTGAAGTGAACCTTTCACAGTCTCATCTACAGATTTTAGCCCCGACTCCACCTTCGTAGGGAGAGTGGTCGGAATTCTCCTCTCATGCATAATGTTCGGGTTGCATGTTGCTTTGGAGGTGGTAATTTTTTTGACTGAATTGATTCATGATGACAGTCACATATGTCAACTAAAGATCTAGTGTTATTATGGCCTTTGTGCCACTGATGTAGATCAGTGGGTATGTATGTCTTCGACTGTTTGATAGATGTGGTCTTGGCTCATCAGTATGTCACCGTACTGTAATGTGTGTTATTCTTTGTCTGTAGGTGGATGGGCAACCTCACAGTGCTGTCTTTTACAATGGGACAATTGAGATCGTTGAACCAAGTGGTGTCTTCAGTGGGGAGACACTTTTCCTTGTAACTCTTGGTATTGCTGTTATCACTTTGATTGGCATGTGGCTGCACCAGCAGTTCCAGCGGTTCACGAAGGTAAGTTGGTGCAATGGACTTTCTTCTTGTTCTCCTTGTCCTCGTCCTCCTCCTCCCTCTGCTTCGTCTCTTGTTCCTTCTTTTTAAGTTGGTGCAGTGGACTTTCTTCTTGTTCTCCTCGTCCTCCTCGTCGTCCTCCTCCCTCTCCTTCGTCTCTTGTTCCTTCTTTTTCACTTGGTTTTCATTTCACTACTTCTTCCTTTTCCTTTTCGGTTTCGTCTTCCTTCCTCCTCTTTCTTCTCTTTGTCCTCTTCCTCCTCTTTTTCTTGCTCTTCCCGTTTCTCCTCTACCTCTTCTTCTTCCTCTTCTTCCTCCTCTTGTTCCTCTCTATCCTCGTCCTCTTTCTTCTCATCTCTCGTCCCTCTTCCGTTTCCTCTTCCTAATGTGTTTCTTCCTCTTCCTCCTCCATCCACTACCTCTTCTTTTTCGTCTCCTTCCTCTTCTTTTGTTTTTCCTCTTCTTGTTCTTCGTCTGCCTTTCATGCTTTTTTTTGTCTGGTCTGGTGGTACTCACCTGTGTGCTGATTTTCTGGAATGCAATTGAGGCTGCTGATGACCGAATCGACAAAATGATCCAAA